AGTTATTGTTGAGCTATCTAGGATGTATCTGCATATCGGGTTTCGGTATGGATCGTAGTAGGATAAGAATTGCATGTGGGCCTGACCCACTCTCTTATTTTTTAGGTGTTCGTCAATTCTAGGGTTAGAGCTTGGACGTGCAGAGCAGATACAGACACTTATTCCTCTGATTACGTAGGATTACTTTACATATTTAGTTTTGGACTTGTTTTAGATGTTTTTTTTACAGTTTGGGATTTTATTAGGGGTCCACTAGATGAATTCCTGAGTTGTATAAATATTGAAGGTTTTTTTGAATAAGTTGTATTTTAATTATATAATTTTTAAGGATTTTTTATTTAGAATTCTTTCAGCCTTTATTTAGTCATTTTTTTTTTTTTTAATTTCTCGTTGTATTCTGTGTTCGTTTTAAATATTAATTGTTTTATATTCCCTCGGGTTTGGGCTTGGGCCTGATCAACCCATGTCTTAGATTCGAGGGGTATCACATAAGCTCACATAAATCAATAAAGCTTTAATAAAAGGTCCACTCTTTATTTTGATGTTCGGTTCTAGATTTGTGTGCTAGTTTGAGGGTAAGGATGTGATTCTTTCTTTAGTTGGCTTAGATAGCAACATATTTAATGCCAATTCACTTAAAAAGGATTCTAGTGTATTTTTGATTTGCATGATCATTGTCTTGATGTGTGGAGGACCATATTTGCTTGTTCGATGTTGAAATTTTAGGAGATTGCTTAGAAAGGGTTGAAAAATTGTATACTTGAGGTACTTTTCTTTCAATGCTTATTTTGTATATTGGTGCCTCACCTTGTGAGAAAGAGCTCAAAGTTTGTGGATATAATTTCTGGAAACCCACATGAGACTTCACTCGTCCACTAGGAGTAACCTAGGGCTTTAAAAGGCTTGTTGCATATGTTAAATGCAGTCGTGTTCCCTATGAAAGTAGCGCTATCCTTTTATTGCTTTCTACTTCATAGTTATTTAGATGTTTATTTCTTTATTCTCCTTGTAGTTTATTGCTAGGGACTAGCAATATCTAAGTTTCGGGGTGTGATGAGTGCTCAAATGTGACTCATTTTAGCACCTAAGCGAGGGTATTTTAGTCCATTTATCTATCTTTATTTTTCCGTTTTAGTAGTTATTTGTGTTTTTGTCTATTTCAGGTCAATAAGGTTCAAATGGGCTAAAAATGGTCTATTACAGCCTTTTTGCAGTCAAGCAAAAGTTTCGGGAAGATTTAAGAAAAATCCAGAAATGGTCAAAAATGCTGAAAATTTGGATGGAACGAAGATTTTTTCGATCGATTAAAAATGTGCTGACAGTGAGTTGTTTTATTTCCGCGTGCCTGAAGTCCACCTACCACATAATCGTGGGATTAGATATTTTGAGGGTTTATTTTCTAACTTGTTCACTACTCCAAGGACCTTGTATTTAAAGGGAATTGAATCATCTTGTAATATATCTTTTCATCTTATATATCTTTAGTCTTCAATTTTATTTCATTGTAATTTTTATTTTATCTCTCTAGAAAAGTTAGAGATTAGGGTTAGAAGAAAAGAGAAGAGTGGAGGCTCTAAGAGCACATCTCAACATCTACACACTCTCTCTATATAAAATTTAACAAAGAAGAAGGGGAAGAAGATGGAGCCATGTTTGGGGATTGCCCTTGAGGGTTCCAAGATCACACCCACATCCTCCTTGATTGGCTAGAATTCTCCTTGGGGCTTGGATGAGCCCCAAGTTTGTAATCTAAACTTCTATCTTTTTCATACTTTTTGGGGAATAATATCTTGTGATTAATGTTCTAGCCTTTTGAATTTAATGAATCTTGGGTTCTCCTTTGATTTCTATGGATGAATTATTTGTATTGATTCTCTATATGATTACATGTTGTCTTATATGTGATTATTTGGGGATTGATCTCTACACTAGTTTTTTTATATTAATTTCATGTCTATGTGTGGTTGATTAAGAATCTAGTGATGGCTAGACATGGTTTTTATTAGTTGGATTTGTCAATTAATTTGATGGATTATTCTTATGCTTGATGGGTTGTTCTACAATTTAATTCATGTTTGTAGGTAGGTAGACAATCTATACTTCATTTGATATTCCATGGCTTATTATTGCACATTCCATGATTCTCTAGATTGATGTGTGCTACAATTGTGACTAGTTTGATGGGTCATGCTTAGAATTAATGAGTTGTGCTACACTCAGTTTATTTGTCGGTTAGGTAAACAATTCATTCTTTAATTTGATGGTCCATGCTTAATATTGTAATTGGTAGTCGCATTTTGTTCACAAGAATATTTTCCCCAAAGTAGTTGAAAGTGTGTGGTTTGGTGAACAAGCTTGGTGGCAATTCCAACAGACCGCAAGACCTCACTTCTCCACTCTTAAATCCCTATCTCAACTTAGTTTATTTTAATTGCATTTTAATTAATTATTTTCTAGAGTAATCAACCAATTTTTCCTTGCAATCAATTGATACATTACAGTCGGAATTAAATTCCAACATGTATAATCTCTGTAGACGATCCCTACTTACTATACTTCATTAGTTGTAGTAATGGTTTTTACAAATGTAAATTTGACTTGGAAGGCTTCCGAAACCGCATTCATATTTTGACCTTGCGAAGCGACCTCTCGCATTATAAAGTTCGTTTTCTTAATCACTTAGAGGAAGGGGCGAGACTCGTCAAATTTTGGCGCCGTTGCCGGGGATTAACGGTTTTGTTGGAATTAGACTAGACAATAGTGTTCATCGGATTGCTTCTATTTTTATTTTATTTTCCATTGTATATTCTTTTCTAATTCTTGATTTTATTTGTTCCATTAGGTACTTGACTACAAGAAAGGCAAGCTTTGAAACTTGAAGCAATCGTTGGAGCTTAAAGCTAACCTTAAAATTTGAAGTTGCTTAAGGACTTTTCTGAGCAATTCTTAGAACTCTTGTATTTTAAATTGTGTACTTCTTTGTATACTTATGATAGCCGTTGTTGAGGCTAATTTCATTGCTTTATTTTAAGTTCAAGCATCGGCCCGTGTGGAGGCCAAAATTTTTTCTTGCATGTGGATTTTAAGTGTGAATGGAGGAATTGTTTGATCCAAGTTTGGGGGAAATTATATCCCTTCACCTTATAACCCTCCATCAAATTTTAATCCTTATGAGATTGAGTCCAATGTTTAATATGCATCATTTTATCATGGACTTGATTATTCTTTTAATCCTTCTTATGACTATTACCCTCTCCCACCATTTTATGAAGAACCACCTCCATCACCTTTTTCACCCTAGTTTCAAGTAAAAATGTTAGTTTTACTTGATGTGCATATTTCACAAACTCAACTTAGTCTTTCACATTCTCAAATTTTAACTAAGCTTAAAGCTCAAGTTGAGCAAATTGCAAGTATTCTTTCTTGTCAAGAGGAGGACGAAGCGACAAATGAAAAAATGACATGAACTTCAATTTATATAGATGAGGATGAGGAGAGTGAGGAGTATGAGACAAGTGAGCTAATGCCTAGCACTCTATCTTGTATAGAGGAGGAAGTGGCAAGTGAGTTAGTAGCTAATCTAATAGAGCACAACATGATTAATGAGGACTTCCCTATTTTTGATCATGATTTTTATCCCGGCCATTGCTACTTTAGAGAGTGAGGAGATGTTGACCACTATAGAGGTAGGAGAGAGAGAGATGGAACTTATTGAAGAAGGCCTTCCTTCTATTATCTCCAAAGACACTCTTGAGACATGTCTTTTTGAAATGTATAAAAATTGTGGTTTTGACCTTGAAAGCTTCAAAAACGAAGTGAACTCTCTAATGGACTCCTTAGCTAACTTGGAAGGTGAGGAGATGGTGATTTTCGAGGGAGGGAAAGAGAATAAAGAGAGTGTAATTCTTATTAATCCAATTGAGTCTTTGAAAGACTTTGCCTTGTCGAGTGCAAGGCCACCTATCATTGATTTTATTTTCAAGACTGTGAATGAAAGGAAACAAATTGCATCTTTCATAATTTCTTTTCAATTCATTCTTTTGGGGGATATGTATATTGTTGTAAGTGAGGCATTAAATGAGAAAATAGAAAAGAGGGTCAATAAGGATGTTTCATATCCGGTCTTTGATACTTTCGACTAGTGAGTCGACCCAACGTCTTGCTAGAGACGTTAAATACTAGCATTCATAGAGTTTCATAACTCTACTCCTTCCCCATTTCTTTTTTTTTTTCATTTCTTGCGGCGTCTAGATATGGTCCATTGCACTTAATTGTCAAAAATCAAGTTTTTAGACCATATTCATGCATTTGTGGTTTTAGAAAATTTCTGCCTTTTACAACTTTTCAAAATTTAGCAATTTGTGCCCAGGCAGTTCGATCGACCGAAGACTTTCTCGATCGATCAACCCTTATTCTGATTGATCGAAAATGGTCTCAATTGATCAAAAATAATTTCTATCGATCGGAATTGCGTTGAATTTTTTTGATCCCAGGGCAATAATGTTCATGTTTTCGATCGATCATGGCCCAGCTCGGTCGATTAAAGTAAATTTCGATCGATCGAGCACTGTTCATTAAAAAAAAAAAAAAATTTCTTTTTGCATCCCTTATTTCCTTGCATTTTCATTCCTTGCATGTTTATTTGTTTTTTTTTTTTGTGTGTGTGTACATACTTGTTATGTCTAAAAAAAAATAATAATAATAAAAAAATAAATTAAAAAAAGAGTTTTTATTTTCATTTTTCATTATTTTGTTATTGCATCCTTTATTACTTTTTGTTTTTCATTCTTGCATTGTACATATTCTTTCATTGCATTTTACCTTTATTTTTCTTTTTGTATTTTTTTTTTCCATAATTGGTAATGTTGTATAGCAAAAGAATAAAACGATAAATTACAGATGCACAGAAGGCATACCCTTAGTCAGAAAGAAAAATAAAAAATACAGGAAATTAGACCAAAGAAAAGGCCCATTTCCAATACACAAAAGTAACACAAACCCTATACTGAGACAAGGTCATTAAGAGAAGCATTTTGGACTTCTAGACACTCTATAAGAGTGTGTCTAGCAATAACCTCCGAAGACATTGCAATATTGTCATGAAGTCTTGCGTTCCTCGCCCTCCAAAGATGCCATATAGCTGCTGCAAACAAAGACTTCAGGATTCTAGAATTACAATAGTGCTGATGCATCCACTGAAATAGCTCCCACACAGAAAGAACATGAGAGAATTGCTGCATATCCCATCTGAGCACATCCCCTATCCAGACCCAAAAACCTTGAGCAAAAGAACACGTAACAAAGATATGATCTCTGTCATTAATATTCAATTTGCAATTTGAACATCTCGCTGCCAGTTGAACTTTTCTCTTCTGTAAATTACACATAGATGGTAACTTATTTGCCATCATAAAAGCTGTTGTGGTTAACCACCAAGGCCTAGCCTTATTCCAGTATAACTTGAACTATTGCACTTTATCTATAGCATTCCTACACCTGCTCCAAGCCATTTTGAAAGAAAACTAACCTTCAGCCCACACAAGTTTATCTCCATTATTAGAATTAGCAACAGTTAACAGAAATTGTCGTAAAGGCAACAATTCATCCCTCTGCAACAGCTGCCAATCCCAAGCCCCATTCTAAATTAAGGGACTCAAAGGAGCATCTCGCTGCATCTACAAACTTCTTATCATCCTATGCCTAAACTTAGCAACAACAGTCTGCCCTGCACACTAAGGATCCTTGAATAACAAAAAACTATGCCCAGTGCCTATTTGAAACTCACAATGCTGCAACATGATATCTCTAACAGATAACATAGATTTCCACACAACAGAAGATGACATCCTAGGAATCGCAGACCAATAATTACACTTGGAAGAATACTTATGGTTTAACCACGATATCCACAACCTGTCTTTGCTGGTCAGAAAATCCCACATAAGCACACATTTAGATGCTACCTGAATATCCATTAACTTTCTGATGCCCAGTCTTCCTTCATCTTTAGGCCTAGTGATCATATCCCATTTCATCAAGTGAAGTTTCTTTGCATGCTTCTTGCTGCCCCATAAAAAATCTCTGCATAATCTCTGAATTTGATTAATGACAGCCACTGGAACATCAAATATAGAACACCAATATTGAAAAATAGGGATAACTATAGTCTTAATAAGCTCCACTTTACCTGTAACATATAAAAGCTTTGCATTCCAACACTGAATTTTACGACAAATCTTATCAATCAAATCCTTACAGATAGATCTTTTTAAACCATTTGGACAGAGAGGAAGGCCTAAATATTTCATTGGAAAAACCTCTTCCTTGCATTGAAGAACCTCAAGCAAAGTAGTCTTCCTTCTAACTGCCCTAGAAAACAGCACACCACTCTTGCTAGGGCTAACTTGAAGACCAGTAAAACATTCAAATTTCTTAAAAATATCAAATAAAACCCTAGCATTATGAACAGAAGCTTGGCAAGCCACAAGGAGATCATCTGCAAAGAAAATATGACAAAAAGAAGGCTTGAACTTTTTAACAGAGTTAAGGACTATTAATTCCTTTTTCTGAACAACATCCATAATAATTCTTGACAGCAACTCTATGACCAACGTAAACAACAAAGGCGACAGTGGACAGCCTTGTCTAAGACCTCTACCAGGATTAATAAAGCCTTTTGGAGAACCGTTAAGCAATATAGAATATCTAATGGATTCAAAAATGCTAGAAATCCAACTAATCCACTTATCAGAAAGACCATAAGAACTCAAATCTTGAAGCAAAAACTCCCATGACACTGAATCATATGCCTTTTTGATATCAACCTTTAAAGCTATAGATGGATGTGTTTGACTATTAAACCCCCTAACCAGCTCATGAGCCATAATAAAAGCTTCTTTGATTTTCCTACCCTTAACAAAAGCACACTGTTCCACCCCCACCAGTTTTGGTAGAAAAAGAGCTAGCCTATTAGCCATTAATTTGGTGATAATCTTATACACCAGATTACACAAAGCAATTGGTCTAAATTCTCCTACTTTGGAGGCATTACCAACTTTTGGGAGCAAAGTGAGGAAGTAGCTACTAATTCCCAAAGGCATAGTACCAAAACTGAAAAAATACTGCACAGCAGCCACCACATTCGTGTCAACCACTTGCCAAAAGGTTTGATAAAACCTTGTAGGAAAAATATCAGGACCCAGAGACTTATCTGGATGAAACCCCATCACCACAGCCTTTACCTCCTTATAACCAACTGGAGCCTCCAACAATAGAATATCTTCTACAGTGAGAGTATTTCTAGGCACTAGATCACAGACAGTGTTATCCATTTGTTTAGAAAACAACTGCTGATAATAATCCACAAAACTTTGGCCTATATCTATGATATCCCTTAGAACCTGTCCATCTTCAATCCCTATGTTAGTAATTGCATTAAAATTTCTATGTTGCTTGATTTTATGATGGAAAAATGCAGAGCACCTGTCATTCTCCCTTAACCAAAGAGTCCTAGCCTTTTGAGCACCTGTCTTTCTTTAGTTGGCTTAGATAGCAACATATTTGATGCCGGTTCACTCAAAAAAGATTCTAGTGTTGTTTTGATTTGCATGATCATTGTCTTGATGTGTGGAGGACCATATTTGCTTATTCGATGTTGAAATTTTGGGAGATTGCTTGGAAAGGGTTGAAAAATTGCATACTTGAGGTAGTTTTCTCTCAATGCTTGTTTTGTATATTGGTGCCTCTCTTGTGAGAAATAGCTCAATGTTTGTGGGTATTATTTCTAGAAACCCTCACAAGACTTCACTCATCCACTAGGGGTAACCTAGGGGTTGAAAAGGCTTATTGCATACGCTAAATGAAATCGTGTTCCCTACGAAAGTGGCGCTATCCTTTTATTGCTTTCTAGTTCATAGTTATATAGATGTTTATCTATTTCTTCTCTTTTAGTTCATTGCTAGGGACTAGCAATATCTAAGTTTGAGGGTGTGATGAGTGCTCAAATGTGACGAATTTTAGCACCTAAGCGAGGGTATTTTAGTCCATTCATCTATCTTTATTTTCCCATTTTAGTATTTATTTGTGTTTTTGTCTATTTTAGGTCAATAAGGTTCAAACGGGCTAAAAATGGTCTATTACAGCCTTTTTAGAGTCAAGCAAAAGTTCCGGGAAGATTTCTTCGATCGATTGAAAATGTGCTGGCAGCGAGCTATTTTATTTCCGCGCTCCTGAAGTCCATCTACCACATAGTTGCGAGATTAGATATTTTAAGGGCTTATTTTCTGACTTGTTCACTACTCCAAGGACCTTGTATTTAAAGGGAATTGAACCATTTAGTAATATATCTTTTCATCTTATATATCTTTAGCCTTCAATTTTATTTCATTGTAATTTTTATTTTCTCTCTTTAGAAAAGTTAGAGATTAGGGTTAGAAGAAAAGAGAAGAGTGGAGGCTCCAAGAACACATCTCAACATCTACACACTTTCTCTCTATAGAATTCAACAAAGAAGAAGGGGAAGAAGATGGAACCATGTTTGGGGATTGCCCTTGAGGGTTCCAAGATCACACCCACCTCCTCCATGATTGGCTAGACTTCTCCTTGGGGCTTGGATGAGACCTAAGTTTGTAATCTAAATCTCTATCTTTTTCATACTTTTTGGGGAATAATATCTTGTGATTAGTGTTCTAGCCTTATGAATTTAATGAATCTTGGGTTCTCCTTTGATTTCTATGGATTAATTCTTTCTATTGATTCTCTATATGATTACATGTTGTCTTATGTGTGATTATTTGGGAATTGATCTTTAGACTATTTTTTCTATATTAATTGTATGTCTATGTATGGTTGATTGAGAATCTAGTGATGGCTAGATATGGTTTTTATTAGTTGGTTTTGTCAATTAATTTGATGGATTATTCTTATGCTTGATGGGTTGTTCTACAATTTAATTCATGTTTGTAAGTAGGTAGACAATCTATACTTCATTTGATATTCCATGGCTTATTATTGCACATTCCATGACTCTCTAGATTGATATGTGCTATAATTGTGACTAGTTTGATGGGTCATGCTTAGAATTGATGGGTTGTACTACACTTAGTTTATTTATCGGTTAAGAAGACAATTCATTCTTTAATTTGATTGTCCATGCTTAATTTTGTAATTGGTAGTCGCATTTAGTTCACACGAATGTTTTCCCCAACTTGTTTGAAAGTGTGTGGTTTGGTGAACAAGCTTGGTGGCAATTCCAATAGACCCCAATACCTCACTTCTCATCTCTTAAATCCCTATCTCAATTTATTTTATTTTAATTGCATTTTAATTAATTATTTTCTAAAGTAATCAACTAATCTTTCCTTCTAATCAATTGATACATTAGAGTCGAAATTAAATTCCAACACGTATAATCTCTGTGGATGATCCTTACTCACTATACTACATTAGTTGTAGTAGTGGTTTTTATAAATGTAAATTTGACTAGAAAGGCTTCCGAAACCACATTTATATTTTAACCTTACGAAGCAACCTCTCGTATTACAAAGTCCATTCTCTTAATCACTTAGAGGAAAGGCCGAGACTCGTCAGAAATTCTAAAAGCCGCCACCACAGTATCAGCATTCTGAATAATACGAGAAAAAGAACTTGGAATTTCAGACCTCTTCTATCAAGGCCTATGCCTTCTTTTATAGAAGAAAATAAAGATTTAGTGGTCTTTTAGGTCTTCTGGCCCATCTGGAATGCGATATGACTTGAAAAAAGAACAATCCCGTAACTTAAAATCTGATGTGTCTTGGAAGGCTCGAGCTTTAGGAAGTAGAGCTCGAGCTTTGAGGTTCGGGCTCTAGCTTTGGGAACAAGGCTCGAGTTTCTCTGGATTAATGCTCGAGCTTCGTGGAATAGTGCTCAATCTTCACTTTGACAATTAGCCAAATTTCTTCAACTATTTTTCGAAGCGTCTTTTCCTTCAACACTTAGAATATTTTTGGGCTTCATCCCTTTTAGCATTGCTCGATCCAAGCTTCATGGGCTCAAGCACTAGGTACTAAGCTCGAGCTTTGGGTGATCGTGTTCGATCCCTAAGTCTTGGCACGAGGCCCTGGGAGCTTGGTTCTTCCATAGAAATCAACTCTTCAAATTCCGATGCCTTATACTCAAGCTTATGTGTCAAGGCTCAAGCACCCTGAGGTAAGGCTCGAGCACCCTTTGTTAGGGCTCGAGCTTTAAAGGTATAAGGCTCGAGTTTTAATACCTTATTGACTTTTTCTTCTTTTTACTTGCAAGGCTCGAGCCTCAAAACTTGGGCTCGAGCTTTGGATCTTGAATTCTTCCAAACTTTACCATTTAAGCTCTCGGGTTACTCTGGATAACTGGCAATGACTCTATAAGCTTCGATATCATCATAAAGTCCTGGTTTGAACCATTTCTCTGGAAAAGTACCTATAAACACACATTAAAAATAAATCAGTTTAACTATGGGTAAAAGTATCATTTTAGGCCTTAACATACGTATATTTAGGGGCTCGAATATGCAATATTCAGCGCTCATCACAC